AATCAACTTAAAACTATAGATTTCCCTAGTGTCCTACTAATGTTAAGATAAGAAATTTGATATTTGTTTACCGAGATTGGAGATTTGAGATTTTTAACCGTTTTAGTACTTTGGTAAACAAGTACAACCAACAAAGCAAATCGGATTCAAAATTTGTTTTCAACTTTAAATCTGTTCCATCCAAATATTTTGTGATGGTGCTTTTTCATGATAAAATATCTTGAAGCCAGCCACTTCTACCGATATCAATCACTGACAAGACTCCAAGATTTTCATTTGATTCACGTCAGAAAAGTTTCACTGATTCACGTTAGAAAAGTTTTATTGGAGTTTATGATAATCTTCGAACAAAATTAGGGAAGAAAATATAAATTTTTGAGCAAACTCTTTCACATTTTTTTAACCTCAAGAACTCAGTGAAGTGACTTTCACTTGGACTTCTAAAACATTAAAAAATTTTAGCAGTAGTTGCTGGGAATCAAAGTTTCCAGTTTACTACTTATATGTTATAAGTCACACCGGCGATAAAATTCCATCAGTTAAAAGCTTATGAAATACCTATCACTCTGCTTCAGAAATATGAACATTACAAGATAAACCAGCACATGTTAGAATGATATCAACCGATGGCCATGTCACGATAAAACTTATTTCCTTAATTAAAAATTTAAGCTTAAGTATTGACTTTCCAATATGTTGTTTGTAGTGGGTAACATTAATGCATACAGCGCCAGAGCACCGCATTGTTCAAAAGAAAAATTTGCTACCTCACCCTCTCAAGTTCATTTATATCAAACTCAATACCATGCACTATTTTGAGTTCATAAGCCTCATCACTTGCCAGCATTCCTTGGAAATGATTTACTTATATTTTTATGGTTAGTATACGTAGATTTGATAACGCACAAGTATCCAGAGTACGACTTTTGATTACCATATGCATATCTAGCATGAGGATGAAATATTTTAAATTTTTCCTTTGTCGTGATCACTATATCAGTAAACAAATCCTGATTTCAAAATGAATGGCTGTATAAGTCTCTGAAAGCAGTGGATCAAAAGCTCTATTCATGGACATGCAATACTGATATCCTTCAATGATGGCATCATCTTGCACTTCACTAGTGCAGCTTTCACTGTAATTTAGCAAATTATTTTCTCCCAGCATTATAGTTATCTTTGATATTAATTTTGTTAGCACTGAAATTCAACTGCCTTGTTGGTTGATATAATTCATTTTTCCATATTCATGGCTTGTAACAAATCATTAGAAGTATATATACTAAGACTTTTGGCGGGAAAGTCTAGACCAGTTTGCACAGAGTTTCCCCTGGCAACTTTCTCGGCAAAAAATTTAACGAGGCTTCCTTTAAAAATTCCCGCCAAACAATAATTCAACAGCATCTCGTGCAAAAAGAATTGAAGAGTAATTGCCAATTTCTCTTTTGCTCTTCAAAAAAAGTATCAAAACAGTCTGAAATGTTTCGTTTCTTTGAGGAGAAATTCCGACGCGACATGTTTATCCTTACACCTTTTTTTTAAGACTTCAATTCTTTTGATACTGTAATTTACCAAAGAGCACAAGCTCATAGAGACACATAGTTGTCCTGCATTTGCACGGAATCTCGTTAAATCAGCATAACCCTTTGACCCTTGAGAATGACTAATTTCTCCTTACATATCAGCCCTGAATCAAACATAAAGGTCATGAGAATAAAGGAAATGATCACCAACTAAAGAACCTCTCGATTGTTAAACAAATTCTCCATGTCAGCACCTCAGGAAATGTAAAGAGACCATTATTGAGAATATGCATACTGGTGTTAGGGTGCAAAGAATAAACTATATGGCGCCTTTAACTACCTTTTTGGAAGATAGACGAATTAATTTTTAGATTAATTTTAGACTTGAGCGTTGCCACAACCCAGAAAAAAGTACTGCATCGGTTGATGAAAAACTCTAAAAGCAATTTGGCGGACAAATACCAACTTTTGGGTGTACTGTTCGATTTGGTTGTAGCCTAGCTAGGCTCAATTATTTTGAATAAATCTGGTTAGAATGAAATTATAAATCACTTGTTGATAAACCTCAGAGGCAAATTGAGGAACAAACATAAATTCATGGAATTTTTAGAGCCCTAAGAACTCATACGTTTTTAATATTAAGTCTAAGATTTTTATTGAGATCATATCAAGAAAAAGAAGATCTATATCATTTGATGATAAACTCAAAAGGAAGTTTGAGGAAAAGAATCAACTTTGGAGCATACTATTATTATTTGGTTAGGACAGTGTTAATTCTTAGGCTCGAAGATCTTTGTTAAATCACGTCGAAAAAGTCATACATAATTTGGTGAAAAACGCAGGAAGAGCTTTGACATGAAAATATCTTTTGGAGTACACTTTTATTTTGTTCATGACTCAATGGTATGCCTCAAGAGCCGAGACATTCAGGTTTTAGGTTGACCGAAATTTATCATCAAATTAACGCCTTTTTAAACATCTTATGACCATGGCATTATCATGTTATGCAAAAGCAACAGAATTCCTTGCAAAATAAAGCCTCACTTAATCTTTTTGAAATAAAAGCATCCCGAAAAGGAATTGAAGTCTTCTAATCGTGGCCTAGGCAGTATTACGTTATTTTGGAGGTTATAAAAGTGGTAATCCTTGTGTGAAGCCAGGCTAGATTCACACAATCATTTCATGCCAGCAGGAATTTAAATGCAATATTCGGTAAATTCAAGGTCTTGGGATGAGCCTTTGGGCAGATGCGAAACATGCCAGACCATAGACTTATACCTCGTAAAAATGTCTGCACTTTGCTAGTGAGTAATATCTTTGGAAGGATCTGGGGAAAGTTGGATGATCGACATCATTTTTACAATTATTCTCTAATCTTAGAACTTGACGATACTTTGAAAGCCTAGAGGGTGGCTATAGTAACTTGGTACATGTAGGTCAGATGGATAGTCAAAACATCCAAAATAATGACAAAGTATTTCTTTGACGCTTGTGAAACAGATAAAAAGTATTTATGATGGAATTAACTCATCGAACGAACATTGGTAAAAAAAAATTAAAAGCCACCTCAATCAGAAATAAATCCAAGAAATCAGACCGTAAAGAAATCGACTAATTCCTGAGTTACAGTTTTTTTTCATAATTTGCTAAGTTAGTTTCGAATTAGAAACATTCGCTAAATCCAGGTTAAATCTTTCAACGCAGATGAATAGGCCTAGATAACTAATTTGTTTTTTTGAAAAAAAAAAACAATTATTTTACCTTTTTGAAGTTTTCATGTATTTCTTTCAGTTCCTTCCTTGACATTCTTGATTTCGAGGTGTCCTCATTTTCCTCTTGATACTGTCCTATGGAGAAAAAGAGACAAATACATTGTAAATACGAACATAACTAAGCAACAAATGTTTACGTCCAGAGTGACTTCGGTGTGAAAGATGGGAACCAATCCTCTGGTAACCAGAAACTGAAGTCTACGTCATAACGTTTTCGCGATTACTTGCCGGGTTTGTAGGGTAAGGGAAAGAACAAGTGCGTTTTAAACACATTTTAGGTCAACACACTATAATCATAAAATTTAGTTGAAAATGTGCACAGGAATGAAAAGAGAAATAAGTAAATAACCGATCGGTACACTAACAATAATCTAAAAAAGTAGGAATTTCTCTCGTCGCCTCTACTAATCAGGTTTCAAAAGAACTGTCATGGCGGCTGCCGCTCAGGATTTTTCCAACTCTGTGCTATGCGCATTACGCTCCTTCTTCTGACATTTTACTCTGTAAATTTTGCAAGGGCCACAACGAGAAAGACGAACCGTGCATTGTTATCCAAATTCATCTGACTATAGGTTATTTACCTGAAGTAAAGTCGTGACGAAGTGAAGAACATGAATCCTCGACATGCATGGTATCTGAACCACGTTGATCCACCATAAGAAACACTCGCCGAACTGAACAGAACAGGCAGTATCTAAGGTAATAAGGTCAAAATGACGAGTTTCTTGACTCCACGTAGAAGCTAAAAAAGACACTCAAATTTCTTGTAGTTCGTGGGTTCTTTCCACGTGCAAGACTAAGCGTAAATATGAATACTAATTTTGAAAATTATTTGTAATTCAAATTAGTTTCCTCACATCAAAAAGCGGGTTCAAAATAATCGATTCCAAGTTCTTCGGTCTTCGATGTAGGATTCCTTGCTTTAACCAGATTTTTAACTACAAGAAGTTCATTAGAGAGCAGCAAATAGAGTTATAATTTCAGAAACATCAACTCGAATTTAAATTAACTTGAACTTAAAAGACTTAGCTTGAACAGCATTTTTTAGCATTTTTTAGCATTGACAAGTTATGGTGCTGCTGTTTTTCAATCCACATCAGAGTCGGCGAAACACGTTACAGACGAGGCAGCTGTTTGACTGGATAAAGGCACGAATATTATTATAATACATATATACGCTCAGAAATGCAATACTGATGTCCACGCCTCTCCAGTTGTTCAAAGAGACACACAAGAGGTACGCAGGTGAACATTAGCTGTTGGAAAAACATGGGAAGACACAAAGGTTGTTGCCCTCCGCCTTCCCCCTACACTACGCTCAAACATTTCTGGCAAAAGTTAAAACTAAATTACAAATATCAATTGCAGAGTTTTACGTTTTGTCACAATACTAGGTTTATCGTTGTTTTTGAAACATTGTCATCCTTTCTCCGATGTTTCTTATTTTTGGGAGTTATTTAAAAACCCTATTGGTACAGATGAAACTAATACGCTTGAACTTTTGTAGGAACATTCCTCCAATTGTTAACCAAGAAAAGACCACTATTCTGCCGACAGACAACTGACCATTTTTAAGGGAGGGGGGGGGGGAATTCTTTACATGGACGTCTTTTTCCCTTTCTACCCCTCCCCTACCCCTTCATTTCTCCGACCTTCTTAAGAAACTTTGACTAAAGTAACAACAAGGCAAAACCAGTACCAAAAATTTCTTTCAAGAGTCTATTTGGCAGTATAAAATATTCTATACATTATACTAAACTGTAACTATATTTGGCATAGCTATAAAAATAAATATGTACACAGTTCAATACCTGACAGTTCAGCGGCAGTCTTAAGAATACCATTGTGATATTAACAACATTTGATTTGTATGAAGTAATTTGAACTTAGACTGTATGTGGTACAATTTCCACAGCATATTTGTACGGTGAAAGTTTCGTATTTCGAAGCGGTAGAATTAAGGTTTTTCTGACGAGTGTCTGTATCAAAAGTAACCTTTAGTCAGATTAATTGACTTAAAATCTTACAGACCATGAATTCACTGCTTATTTTGCAGATTCTTTGACATTTTTTCTCAAATCAAGTAATATCTAGCGACTAGTTGGTTCTGAGGGTAAGAATATTTCCTTGTCTCGATCTCTGTTCATGTAAAGTATGACTCGCATGGTGTTGCGGGCCACTTTGACCCAAGCCCTTCGCTTCCGCTTCAAATTGTAAGTTTCACGAGACAATTTATTGAGATATAGCCGCTTAAAGAATAGTGCATCAGAAGTGATTTACACTGCACACCTACGAGAAAGAACGTCTGAAGCAATGTACAGGTATTTATAGAGATAAAGCATGTGCCGAAGCCAGCGAGATCAAATGGCATTGTATGTACAGGGAGTAGAATCTAAAAAAAGAAGTTCTCTTTTTGCAGGAGCGGAGCTGGAGTTGAACATTTCTAAGGCAAGAACCTTCCTTGTTCTCTATGTAAAGGTCACCAAAGGTCTACATCGTCCACATATTCGTCATCTTCTATATCCCTGAAATCAGGATCTTCTATTGCGTCTTTTCGAACAATTTTATAATCATCTTTTGTGTTGTGTCTCGCTGCTTTAGCCTCCATTTCCTCTCGTAACTTTTTCTTCAATAAAGTTTCCTTCTCTTTGTTTGCCTTTTCTTCAAGTTTCCATGGTAAAGGCCTACGTCCCTTGTTCAGCACAACAAAAGGTCTCTTTTCTACTCCACAAAGTCCATGTCTGATTTTGATAAATCCACTATCTCCCCAGTTATGGGACCAAGAGTTTTTAATGAGCCAATAAGGAACCCCGTTTTCGGTGCCATACCCGACCAATAACACGGCATGATCGGTTTTATTATCTAAAAGAAAAGATAAACACGCACAATTTAACTCTTTACACTCTAACATCAGTATCCATATTCTCCATACCATTTTCTTAAATTTTCTTTAAAACTGACAGGGAGATTTGTTTAACAATTGTCCCTTAGGTTGGCGATAATTTCCTGTATTCTTGTTCTCTTAATGAGTGATTCAGCAGTCCTACAGTGAGGAGGAATTAGATGTTGATCACTCTTGCGGTTTAAAGGGTAATTTCAACAATCGGGTAATAAGTAGATATTTTTTATAAAATTTCCCAGGTGTTATCGCAAAATACTCTTTTAGCCTTGGTTCATTTTAGGAAGGACGAGAAAAACGAGTGGCTGAGGAGAAAGCGCGAGTCCTACGACTCCCATAATTGAATACAAAATCTCTGCAATGACCGACACTTTCTTATATCTATGATAAAAGTAATATAAATGTGTCATCAATTAATACAGAAACGTGCCAAAAATGTTATTCCTAAAAATCTCAGCACAGTTTCAGTGGGTTACTAAGCTGTAAGTCTGGCACAAAGTGTTAACAGAGTTCGAGTCTTTCTCGTTCCAGAAAGACTCGATAAATTTTCAAAAAGCGAGGAAAATTTATATGAAAGGAATGTGTACTTACTACATGTGATATCGTCTAAGACGCCATGACTGTAGAATTTTAAAGCTTTAGGATTTGCATTAATAGAAATAGTGGCAGGGCCATGGTAAGCCAATGCTTTCTTAAGCGCTTCCTCGTTGTAGCGTTTGACTCTTCTGTAACTGTGAATTCTAGCTCCAATTTTCAGTCCCTTGGTTTTACAATACCCTTCCTAAACAAATGAAAGGCAAACAATTGACGTATATCAGGAAACTGAAGTATCCATGTGCGATTTCTCCCCGAGAGAAAGACATGATTTGAGTGGTTATGGTTTTTTTTCCTTCTAATCCTATACTTTGTCGTCATTTGGAGGTTAAAAAGAAGAGTTTGTTCATAACACTGATGCAGTTGGTTACAGGAGCTTATAAAGGGATGCTGCTCTCAGGCTATCACAGAATATTCTCACTCCTTCCCCCAGCCATTTGTACTCCTGTGCTGAGGACGCAATGTGGAGTGAGATGTTTTCCCTTAGAACTCGACACTGAAAGCAATTGCTACCTTACAAAGAGAGCATACTGGAGCGGGAAAAGAGAAAAGAAACAATGATAAACCAAAGCAAAAAAGATTGGCGAAAGAGAAATATATTTCATTCATTGATTGCAGCACTTCATCTAATTGAAAATCTTTCAGCAATTTTTTTTTATTATAAACAGAGGGTAATGTAGTTTCTTTTCATTCAAAGCTTAGAATATGTAATTGGAACTTAGAGTTTATCATTCCAACGCTGAAAATTTACAATCAAAACCACAGCTTCTACCCCGCCCTTAGAGAAGCGGGCCGAACTAACCTGTCCCCGGTAATGTCCGTAACTTTTAGCTGTAGCAATACCAAACTTCTTGATCCAAGAAAACGCCTTCCAAGTCCAGCCTCCAAGACAACCGTTGTTGCCATGCGTGGCACCAGGTGTGGCCCATGTGCAGTCCAGGAGTTGCTGCTCTGACAAATCAACCAATTTACCAGTCTACCAAGCAATGAAGAAGAATTTGAGTAACAAGATCAACTTAAGGTGAAATTTGATTTCCAAATATGTTTGACAGTGGAAATGCAAAGGAAAAAGATATTGTTACGCTGGGTATGAAGACAAGAGGAAAATAAAATTTTGATTTTTAAGGCGATGTTTGGAGTGTTGCTCATTGCTTTTATCATGAGCCGAATTTCAGCTTTGTTTTACAGTCCTATAGCTGTTTTCATCTAGAGGAGTATCTTCTCCAGGAACAGTGTCGATAATTCTCAATAATGATTCTTAACTAAGAACACCGCACCTGAATGAAATTGGCACCTTCCACTGCACCAGCTGCAGCAAAAGCCCAACAGGAGCCACATGTTCCTTGGCCTTTTGGAGGAAGAACAGCACCTGACAGAAAATAGAACAGTTCTATAAAGTAAGATCAAGTGTCGAAATGTGCTCAAACCATCCAATTTCAAACAACTAAGAAGAATATCAGGAAGAGGGTATGTACATTTATGGCAAGGATAGCCGATATATGGACGAGAATCAATCTGATTGGCTTACTCCTGAATAAGTTGATATAACTACTTTACCGTGCTGACAACACTATTCAATGACTTTATTTTAAATGATTTTGGCCGAGGCTGGTTAAGAGGGAGAACACTCTAAAGCATAATTTAGAGAACTTCAAGAGGAGGTGCTTCGTGGCCCTCTCAAACTGTAAAATTTTCATATTAAAAAGCTACAACAATCATTTTATTCTCTTCATTTAATAGGTTAGAGATACACAGAAGCTTGTTATATCATTCAAAACCATACCATATTTCCTCCAGTCCAGTTCAACAGGAACATGACCATATCTACTTTTCTTCTTCTTGATTTTTTCCCGCCGTTCAACGGTATCGTCATCGTACTCTTGATCGTCATAGGCGTCATCGAGGTCATGTGATCCATAACCTCCATCTCCCGGCATGAGTCCTTTGTGATTATCAAATTCTTCATTCGTCAGGTCAGCAAAGTGATTCACAGTTAAATGATACGAGTTGCCTTTCATGTTCATCGAACGAATGTATCTAAAGACAAAGGAGGTCAAACAATTCGTCAGTGTTTTTAGGATAAACAGTTTGCCGCAGGTGAAACTTCTACTTGACTCGTTTCAAGGTCGATGAGTATTGATGGTGGATGGTGTAATTTATTAGGATCCAGACCTCTTGCATTTAGGGACTTTAAGTACATGCAATCGACATTAAAAAAAATGGCGAACATGTGGTTCGTGTTGTGAGCTCCAAATTTTACAAGCGGTTAAACTAGTAAAGCATAACAAGGCCACTTGAGATGATAACTAAATATACATAACATCAGAAAATACAAAACTAGAATTGTTCTCCGAAGGAGCTGAGCTATGTTTCAAATCTTTCTTGCTACGTTTTTGACTTGAAACGTTTCCAATAATTTAGTCTAAAAACTTTTCCATGCCTGTATAGGGCAAAACATTGAACCCTCAACAGTATTTCGTTGTTGATCCAACATAAAACGCAATCAAAACAAAACAAAACTTTACATAAATGTAACCTACATGAAAGATTACTTATGGATATCGCAGAGTCTTAACTATGTCTTTCGCCATAGCAACGTTTAATATATATTATAAGGGAAGTATGTTAGGCTAATATGATTGGAGACGGTTCATTTTTTATAGCCTGGTTGTATAACGATAAAATTTACCTGATTCCCACATAAAGCTCTGTAATATTCTTATGATTTCCTCTTGTTGGCAGTAAATTTTCTATGGTCTCCCATTTATACTCTGTTGGTAACAACTGATCTCCCCACTGTTCTCCCCTGAAAACCATGTAATTCCCCCAAAAAATATTCCACAGCCCCTCTGCCGTGACCTGCTCCACACCCCCTCCCCCTTGACTTGCCCCTTATTCAAAATGATACCTGAATTATTAAATTAATTCACCTTAAATTGTGTCTAAATATGTGTTTCCTTTGTTGATGCTCAATTTTGTCTTTGTAATCTCTCTTGTGTTTCTTACGAAAATCGTGAAAGTCTCTATCCACGGGGTCCTCCTTATGGTGGAGCATGGCGAACTCTCCCATAGGGTTCAGGGACATAGAGGCACCGTCACTGTCACGTGACCTTTTGTCAATGTTCCAGCACCATTTGTCATGGTGCACTAAAATAAACGGTAATAACGCTGTTCAGCTCAGGAAGTAAATGAGCTCTCTGAACTGAATAATCAGTAAAGCTACAATCAACAGAATATGATTTGCAAATTAAACTTGATGAAAAACCACCTTAAACCCCAAAAATTGTCGTTATAACGGAGTGTTTGAGTTAAAAGCATCCTAGGATAAGGGAAAGACTAGACATTAATTCCACTTGAGAAAAATAATCGAAACGGCAAGGTCACGGTCCTATTAAAGACGTCTTTTGGCGGGGTTCCTCTGCATACAAGAACGATTACCAATAACGACTGATATACTTGAGGTCTCCCATATTATGATTTAAATCATGTAATGATTTTCAAACCTACTTCAGCACGACGTAGTACATGCAACACTATTACAGGGAGACCAGTTAATATAATTTTGATAAAGGGAATAACACATACATATATATATATATATTTAATGTATATGTAGGGGGTTCAATCTCTTTGGTTAACCTCTCAGTCTTACGTATAATAAGAGAAAATTTATGCGGAACAGTCCCCCTTCCCACGTGCCTTTGGTGCCCAAATATCCCCTGCCTTACTTGTCTTATTCTCGTGATTTTACGCCAATTATTTCATTAAGATTGTGCTTGGAAAAATAATGATGTTGCACGTTTCTATTTCGCTTCTTTTCAGTTCTATCACAGATAGACTGGAAATTGTTCACATTGTAAATAGGTTTAACTGGTATAACGATTTACCCCAAGGCCAATTTAAGAAATTTGACTCAGGGAAGCGTCTACCTTCGTGTGCGATAAAATCCTCCACTACCACGCCCCCTCCCCCACGCCCCCATCTCCTGTTCCAACACACTTCTCAAAGCGCCATGTCGCCTCTGGTTCCCCCTCCCCCCCCTCCCCCCCACGCACAAAAACTGTTATACTTACAATGTGGAATCTCTAAGACATCCGGATCATCATCCGGATCATAATCCCACTTCTCAAAACTGTGATAATGAATCGTATACTTGTCGTAGTACGACACCAACAGAGTATCGTAGCCGTTCATTTCAAAGTACACAGGTTTGGGTGGGTTGGTCTTCGTTGCGTAAAACAAGTACGAGTTGTTGCGTTCAAATACGGTCACGTTGTAACTCCACTTGGTGCATTCTTTTCCATTGATAACAGCATCACCCTCATACTAAAAAGAAAAAAAATATATAAAAATTTTCAGAGAAATGCGCGCGCCGTGATTGGTCAAAACGAGTTCATTATATTTCCATAAGGCACGCGCCTTACGTCACACGAGTGCACTGTTGAGATATAGTACATGCAGCCTACGTCATCGGTACGAGCGAGCGCAATTCACGATACCTTTTCTAAAAGAAATAAAGAAACTTGTTCCTCGAGCATTGTTGAGTTATATAAGCACTTGGGAATTTTTAGGAACACTTGAGAAGTACGAGAAGCACTCGCCTTCGGCTCGTGCTTCTCCGCACTTTCTCGTGTTTTTAAAAATTCCCACTTGCTTGTATAACTCAACAATACACTCGGCGCGTTTTTTATTTCTTTAATAAGAGATGAGATGAGAAGTTGCGCATCAGTATCTGAGAAACTGCGTTCCTACCCCTCCCCTGGCTAGAATTAATGTTGACTGTGGGAAGGACTACGTGCGCAGGTGCTCAGATACTGACATTGATCCGAGGTTGTCAGGCCAGGCAAATTGTTAAAGATAACCTTGAAAAAAGACTATTATGGAAAGAAACCAGCTATTTTGGGGGGTGCCACGTGGTTTTCAGCGGGAACTGATGGGGGTAGGGATCAGTCGTCCCTGGCAGAGTAAAAAGGGGGGGTTTTACAAACTGACCACCAGTGAGAGGGGATTGTAAAAAAACGATAAAGCCGGGGGGGGAGGGCAAGTAAATTTTATTGTGACACACAACTGATGAAAATCCTCCCACCCCTCCACTGGGCGATAAAAAATGACCGGTATCTTAATACTGTATCGTCAAATAAGTAGTTTAAGGATCTTGCCGGGAACCTTAGGCCGGGTTGTAAGTGTGCCGCCTTCTTTACATCTATTGATTTCTGAGTCATACAAACGGTTGTGACAAAGAATTAACCAATTACCTTGAAGTCTTCCAGACGAGACTTGAACGGCCAAGCCGTGTTACACGGCAGAACAGACTGGGCCTTAGCCTTGCGAGACTTGGACCCATACCTCTTCCAACATCCCAGAAAATGGCGATCATTCTTATGACGCTTGTAAGAGTACTTTGGGACGATTTTAAAGAACATTCCATGTCTTCCTAAATCTCCTCTTTGAAACGTTTTCACTTCACCTAGTAACGGTTAAAAAGAAATCTTACCTCCCTTCTCTATGTATTCCAATTGCACGCCCTCACTCCACTTACCATGATTGCACGCGCTCAATGGTTAAGTTATTACTTCGGAAAATTTTCATTTTAGTCACTAAAGTTTAATAGGAATTAAAGCTCCAAATAAACGAAAAAACCGTCCCAAGAGAGAGGTCTTTTGCTTAAAAATCTTAGCCACTGCTAGCCCAGTTTTTGTAAATCTCAGATCACATTTTACGAACGCATCAAAGCGCCTAGCAGTGTCTTTTCCCTAAACACGGTACGTTCATGAAGAATTTGGAGGCTCCTCTAACAGCTGAAAAAGAAAAATTTCGAGAAAAGAGATTCAGGGAGAAAACGTCTTACTAACTGAGTTATTAGTCTGTAATGTAAGTTACGGACTGGATTTATGGTCCAAGCGCGGAGCACGCAGGCCATTATACAAGACCGAGCGGAAAAAACGGGGTTCCATATTTTGCAGCACGAACCGAGAAAACGAGGTTAGTATGATTTATATCACACTAACTTCATCTTCAATAAACTTTTGAATTTAGTTGTCCTTACAATAAATAGGGCCCGTTAAATTGACCAATCATAGCGCACGTGCAAACTGAGAGATATGTAACATAAAGCGGGTATATTCACCTTTGATCAAAATATAATTACGGATTTATGTTTTCCTTTCCTCTCTTGTGTCAGTATTGTGTTAGTATTGACAAAGCTCAGAATTTCTGGCTTCAGTGCGAATTTAACCCTGCATGCGGCTAATTAATGTACTTTTTATATCAGTGCAGGTTTTTTGATTGTATGGTCTCAATCTCCATTCTTCAAATTACCGGTACCGTTTAGTGAATTATGATCTAGGAGCATTTTTACAAGCTAAGTCTATTTATCTCTTCACTGAAAACTAAACAGCAGACAAGCGCTTCTTTTCAGCCGACTGAGCGCATAATTCAAAACACAAATCTGCGAAAGTCAGTCGTAGAATAACTAGGCAAATCGTTTAAGAGACAAATCAGTTGTCCAAATTATGTAAACCAACAACGCCGTGAACGCCTCCAACATAATTGAGTTTTTCCTCCACCCACTGAATACTAACGTACCAATGAGATGTCTTCTTTAGTAACCCATTAGTCTTTTCAACGAAAGGGAGTTTACTGTTATGATTTCACTCGAAAGAAAAAGTACAAAACGGAGTCCCTTTGGCGACAGTTTCTCCGCTAGGTAACATATTTGAAAATGGATAGTTCCTCGACTTCATTTTGCAGTCAACAATCAATATCTACATAAGTGACATATTCAAAGATGGTTAGTTTCTCGACTGTAAATCGCAGTCAACAATCGAACTACTCACTTAATAACTGGTAAAACAACACTTGATCTTTAGATGTTTTGATAAGTTATACCGGTACCGACCCAAATCCCACCGAAAGGTATATACAGTACCTTTAAAAATATAATTACTGTCAGAGCATAATTATAGCTCGAGATCACAAGCACGTCATTGAAACTTGAGTCTCTTTGTCTTACCATGATAGTAATCTATTCGGCTCTTGTCGTAAGCCTGGCTGTGCCAAACCTCAAAAGGCTCGTTAATGTTGCTTGTGGGAAGCGACAAGACACCCGTTGCATGATACTCCGCGGGAAAATGCAAACTTCGTAAATCAGGACCAGGTTTGTCCTCTTGTTCCGATTTGCTACCACCCTGCGTCTCTTTTTCGACAGGTGTACTCCCGATGCATTTCAAGTAACCAACGATCATGAAACAAACCCAAACTGCTCTTCCATAAGGCATATCCCAAACGACGGCCTCTCCTCAACGTTATAATCAAGAGATCGACAGGTCCCACGATGGTCTCTTACAAAACCACCACCCAAGTAAACGTCGAGTATTAAAAGCACAGCTTACACGCTCCATCCAATCATGTCATACGGTATTTCGGAGACACCGTTCGAGCGCGGTATGGGAATGAACGTAAGTTATTTCCAGCCCGTTCGGGAAAAAAACGAGCATGTTTATACGTGATCAAGACTCTGTATTACATCATGGAAAAATAACGGCCCAGTGACTTGAACAGCAACTGTCAAACAATCCCATAAATGGTGAGGGTACCAGTCACCGAATGAATATAGTCTTTTTTAACGGTAGTAGCAGTGAATACTGTAAGATCCCGCAAATTAGGAAATATTTGTGAATTTTAAATTGTACCAAAATTTTAATTAGTTAGATACCGCCATATTAGCACGAAATTTAACTACACAAATAAGAAAGCTGCCAAAAGACATGGATTATGGATCGATAAATAAAAACAGCGGAGACCTGAGGTGGTCGAGTGAACGAAGGGTTAAATACGGAAATGACTAACCGCCAACCTTTTCTAGCTCAACAATCTAAATTGCTTTTATTAACTTGAAAAATAAGACATCTTTGGATTATCGACCAACCGAGACCAAACAATAAATTCTAACACCATTAGACCACTCAAAAGCTTAGAGTTCAACACAAAACTGATTTAAAACGATAGTTCGTTTTAATGGCTCAACTCAGCAAAAAATAGGCAAAAATAAAGCGTATGAAGCTAGGAACAAATTATAGCGATCAACAACAGACCTTGGGTATCGCGAAGCGATCGAATGTGACCGTCTGATTAGGATACCGTAACCATGGTTACGATCCTTATGCCTCAATGAATCTTAGCTCGTCGAAGGAAAAAGAACAGGACATTCGAAAATCTGTCAATTTCTTACAAAACAATCTTGTTGTAATAGATGAAATTCCCTTGGTGCAAGGTCCACACTCCCTTACAACTTACTCCAATCCATTTTCTCCAACCTTGCTGAAAAAAATCGTCAGAAGTTTTCCCAGTTTGCACTTAACGTGAATATCACAAGATAAAGTGACATTTGAACCCTATTTAAACCCTGTGATTGGTAAAGAAAACACGCTCTATTCTCTCAACCAATCAGATACAAAATTTAAACCAACCACAACTTGGTCACCCGCGTTTTCCCGCGCTTTAGGCAGTTGGCTTGTTTTTACTTTGAGTTCTCATTAGCTTTTAGAAATATTTCCCTTCCTTCCAACTGGCTGTTGTGATAACTTGTGATAAAAAGCGCTCCAAGCACAACCGATTTTTACTCGTGGGTTCATGGAAAAGTTGCCCAGTTTTCTCATTACGCACACTTTTAGAATTTATCAAAGGAGGAGTGCGATTCAGAGACCATTTTCACTCAACGATTCTTTCAGAGACAAACAGGAATCCAGAGAATTCTCGTGATTCATTCTGTTGCTTATTTCATATATATTTGTCCCAACTTTAAAAGTTAGAAACAGTATAAGTCGTAGATAACGCTACTTAAGTAAGTAGATATATATATATATATATATATCTTATATAAGGAAATTAACGAGAAATTAGAAAATGTCCTTTAAGTAAGCCTGCACACAACGAAAATTTCTCTTAACATTAAAATCACTACTTACACATTGAACCAACCTCCCTTTTCAGTGCACTTTGACCTTTTCCACTCTCGTATTGCTTTTCATATTCTCCACACTGTCCTCTTTACATTTCCTAAGGTGCTGACAAGGAGAATTTAACTGGCAATCAGGAACCTCTGAAATTGGTGACCATTTCATATTTTCTCGTGATCTTTGTATTTGATTCAAGCGTGATAACGTAAGGAGAAATCAGAAGTCAATCACTCACAGGGCTTACTATCGCCAAAAGGTAAACACGATAAGCTCAGAGGTGTTCTGTCGTTCATCTGCACAGTCATGTATATTTTAATGTCTAAAACCTCAATCTTTTTTGTTATTAACCTGTTAGATGGATTTCTAACACATCTTGTTCAGTTCAGTGATACTTTCTTTATTCCTTCTCTTAAAAACTCAATATAATTTGCTAGCTCGGGGTATAACGCTACAACGACAGGAAAGTGACGGTTTGTTCCATTCATATTCCTAACACCAAGGTAAGGAAGCTCTTATAATGCTTCTAGATAAGACATGATTTAATTTTCATCGATTAACAAACCTAACACCATCTTTGTTTGCTGCCTGCTCTAACGCTAAACTGTTTTCTTCTATGACTTCAGAATTGCAAACTAAATCGACTCAACTATGAAGCATAAAACATGAAACGTGAGTCACGTTTTTATGGTAATCTAAGAAATCGAGTGAGTTGGAGTTTAGAAATTATACACCATTTTCCGTTTTCTCTTTTTTTTCTATATATATATATATATATATATATATATATATTAAAGCAACTGCACAGCATGTGTTAGATAAACACCATTACTGGCAATTAGGTTCAAGGTTACCCAGTTGCGTCTGTTTAGAGTGTAACTGACCTTCGTAGTCTGTTTTCATTACTGGTACCAGCTGTTTTTGGTAAATGCTCTCAACAGGTTCATTTGACGATTCGTATCTAACGACAATTGCATTTTAAGCAGAGATAGCGAGAAAATCACTCAACATCCATTCTCACCGGCAGCTTTTTAACTGCTGTGTAGAATGAAATCACTTCCACCTTCTATAACTTTGACGAAAGGGGTACATAAGTGAGATGTGTAACGGACACTTCATCGCTAATGCTGCAGTATTCTGGATTATATTCACAATCGTCTTATTTTGCAACCGAAACGAAGGACAGCACTACTTTTTCGAAGAAATCAATCAACTGAAAAGCAACTTTGACCCTGATCAGGAAGAAACCGACAAAGACCTCACGGGTGTTTTAGAACCTGTGATCACGTTCGAGAATGCAACTCTACTTCAAGATGACGATCAAGAAGAAAATAAATCACTGCTAGAAAAGATCACGTTTCCCGAGTTCTATCATGCCCAGGGAATCATTTCCCTGCCTTATGACGGGATCATTGAGCCGTTCGAAGCATGGTATGGTGGCCGACATAAAATGAGTCGCATCGACTACTACTACGGTAAGACAGATCAGTATCTTCTACATGACATGCCAACAGGTGATATATTGTCTTATCATTAGGACTGGTCGTGTTTGTTCCTCAGTCAATATTGACAAAAGAAATATGAGACTAATATGCAGACGACATTTACATAGCACGCGAGCTCAACCCTGATTTTTGGATGTCACTGTTGATAGAAATGCATCAGGTTCCTCCCAATGTCCTATTCCGTCCCAGGCGCAATATTTGTTGAGCAATGAGTTTAAGACAATTTGACACGGCAGTTCTGCTGCAAGTTGTAAAAAGCTCGACGCACTTTTGCTTCGTTGAGTCCTAACAAAACAAAAGTTGTGACTAAGCATCTCTATCCGCCATAACAGTAGTAAGTAATGCACTGCAAGCCGGTCTAACAGAGTGTATTGACCCAGCACACACCGATGTATTAAACCTTTTTTCTGAGAGTTTAGCCAACCAGTTCTTGCCAACAACATGCGCCTTAAAAATCGAATAAAATCCTCATCGGTAATGTCTTTTCATTCCATAAAGAAAACACCGATTTAAGTTGTGTTTTTGGTTCGTCTCTTTCGCAGCCAGAATGCGTTGTGTCTTGTAGCCTATGTAACGGGCTACGAGAGAGACGTATTTTCAGTTGATGTTTTTGTTATTATTTTTGCACTTTTTGTTTATTTTTGGGATTACTCAGACAGTAATACGATACTCCATCTCCTCTTAAACCGTTCTTTCTTGTTCCTTCCTTCTCACTCCATGCTTAAGGGATGGACAAGACATTCCAGAGAGGGGACCTTATGCCGTATGGGGCCCTGGTTAAGTTAGTGCCAGCTCACTGGAAGAAAGGAGATGATCTCGATGAAAACACACAGAGCTGCTGGTACAGGCCCGGATTTCGATGGTCTCCAGAGAAGGGTCAAAATGTTGTCCCAAAGAATTTGAAAAAATTCAAGGTAAATGTTGAAGCGTTCGTGACCCGCATCCCAAATTTGAAGCACACACTGTTCTTTTGACCAATTTTCCAGACCAAAATCGAATGCCGCGTGTTTTACACATTTGGGATAACCAAGAAATCCTTGTCGATGTGTCCCATTTATAGCTCAGTTTATATTCCTCCAAACTGGACTTAAAAATTATCTAAGAGTTCCTCTACATAAAAATTAAGCTTTGCCTTGGGAAAACAGTGCACTCCAAGTTATCGTACGTACGCTGTTATTTTTTCTTGACAAATGTAGGTCATATGCTTCATAGCACCTCTCTACCTTTCCCTCTTTGCGACCTCTTTTAGTGTCTCTTCATCTAAGTTAGATAATTCCCAGTTATGTTTTTTAATGTTTACTTGATACCTCATAACGCCAGCTGTTCCATATAACTCTTCAAACATCTTCTAGGCAGGATTAGGGAACTACAATCTGAAAAAAACAGAGTACCACGATGTTGCCGAGAAGATTTGCATATGCCGCACATGGGCAAATTTAAAGCAATTGGGCGAATAGGTCTTAAAAAAAAAACTCCCATAGGACGTTAATCGCTCTGCTTTAAAACAATAAAATGACATATGCACCAGAAACCAAACTCTTCATTTCTTCGCTATTAAAAGTACCTAAGAAATTATAACCTGTGACCACTGACGTCTGTGACACCTGTGACGCCTGTGAGGTAACAGACTCCAAATCAGAACACGGTTGCCCGAAAATTGTATCGAGAGAAAACTGAAAAAAAGGGGAGCTAGAAGTTAATTTTTTAAAGCACTTTTAATCGAGGAGAGGAGACAAAAATTAATTCCTCTGAAGTATACTTCTCCTATAAACAACAAGAAATAGTGTAGCATAATTCTTCACAGGCTTGATACTAAAGTTCCCGTCTAAAAATAGACAAGGACTGCCTCAGGAGTAGGACTTGGATGTAAGATCGAATTCCATACCTTTATCGTCTGTTGTTTCAGTATGTAGGCGAGGAAATCCACAGTGGAATGCCTGTTTATAAGCTACAACGCACTGCAACTGTGTACAAGAAGAACAACACTTACACACTGTACGTGACAAAAGCAAAACCCTACAGACCTGTGCGCTACGTTATGCACGGATATGACACTCTTCTGCACTCATTTTATGATCATTACGTCGTGGATTACCTCTCTTTCCATAAATGGGACTTTGACTTTAATATCATGAAAATCCCAAAAGGTGAGTACGATACACTGCACATGACACATTTATTGGCTGGGCTACTTCCTATGACCTCATACTAGTCTATACTAACCTTTTACAGCCTATTATCAGTATGCATATTCTTCATACTATTCGCTTTACACTTCCAAAGGTGCTGAGGAGGAGGATTTGTTTAACAACCAAAAGCTTCCTAGGTCGGCGGTCATTTCGTTCTTTCTCATGACCTAAATGAATGATTCAACAGTATTACTGTATGGAGAAAGTAAATGATGGTCACTCTTAGTGATTAAAGGGTTGAGAATTGCAAAGGCAGAAGCAAACAAATCATAACAATCACTTGGATTAAATGTAAGACCTCTGAGGAGCTCATTAAAATTCAAAGTAATTCATTTAGCAAAATGGCTAAAACACGCACGATCAAACCGCATTTCACTTGAGTTCTAGATCTGATCGTTTGAGAGGATGGCCCGAGTATCGTAAACCAACAAAAAATCACAATAAACCAAAACCAATGCCACCTATTGCTGTAATGACCACACCAACCGTTCCAACCCAACTCATCAGCAGGAGGACAATACAGCACAATTTTAAAAGATACATACCAAAGACATAGTTACCCAGTGTAGCAGATAATTTAATTATAAATGGCTCAACTGAATCTACATTAATCTTGCTTCGAACCGTACCTTTCTCTTCAATATATGGTACACTTAAGGCTATACGTCTTCTGATCCTAAGGAAAATATTACACTGTAATGTAGTTGTAGAATACACGAATCCGGGCAGATCTGATCGAGGTTTTTGCAAGCGAACAGGACCTACGTGGT